CACACACATACAGAAGCAAATGTTGAGTTAATTGGAGATCAGCAGAGTTACTGTTTCATAACATCTTCGTGGTATGAGACATGAGAAACCAGAGGGTTTTAAATTTTTTGAAATTTTATTTTTGATTCATATTCATGGTTGAGTTCTATCTGGATGTCCCTGCTGATGAAAGACAGAAGGAGAGCAGGGCATGGTGGCTCATACCTGTAATACTAGCCCTTTGGGAGACTGAGGGGGGCAGACCACAAGATCAGTATTTTGAGACTAGCCTGACCAACATGGTGAAACCCTGACTCTACTAAAAATTCAAAAATTTTGAATTTTTAGTAGAGTCAGGGCTTCATCATGACTTTGCCAGGCGCAGTGGCACGCACCTGTAATCCCAGCTACTCAGGAGGCTGAGGCAGGAGACTCACTTGAACCCAGGAGGCAGAGGTTGCAGTGAGCTGCAGTCTGGCCACTGCACTCCAGCCTGGGCAACAGAGCGAGACTGTGTCTCCAAAAAAAAAAAAAAAAAAAAACATACAGAAATCAAAGGGTTGGCCTCTGCTGAGGTTATTGGACAAATGCTGAGTAACATGTGCTCACTGCAACCTCTGCCTGCTGGGTTCAAGCCATTCTCTTGCTTTAGCCCCCTGAGTACCTGGGACTGCAGGTGTGCACCACCACGCCCAGATAATTTTTGTATTTTTAGTAGAGACAGGGTTTCACCATGTTGGGTAGGATGGTCTCGAATCTCTTGACCTTGTGATCCACCTGACTTTGCCTCCTAAAGTGTTGGGGCTACAGGTGTGAGCCACCTCACCTGGCCAACATGGTACTTTTAATATCACTGAACCTCCTTGCTTCCCCCCTCCCCCAGAGTATTTAGCAACCCTTACTCTAGGTTAGTGGAAACTACTTGTGACATTCTTTCATCCTCTTTATTTTTGTCTTAATTACTTTCTTAAGAATCCATTTCCCATTTTTGTTCCTAAATTTAAATTCCACCTTACTGATAGGCAGCCAGTGTTTCTCTTTTGGCAATGTTGCTGTGTAATAAACAAGATAAGGAATGGAGATTAGCCGGAATGAACGTTTAGAATAGATTTTATCTTCACTCTTCTGACCTCCTTTCGGCACAACCCATTTAAGCATAAACATGTATATTCATATCTGCGTTCATTTCTAGAGAGGTAGATCCTATCACCATTGCATGTCCACGAGTAACATTTAAAGGTTCATTGGAAAAATTCAGTCTTCTTGTGTGCTTCAGCTGAGTAGGAGGAAAAGCCAAATCGCTTCTTCCCTCAGCGAGCATTCATAGGTCTCCATCTCTGTGATCACACAGAGTCATTATGTAGCATTTGGCTCTGATACGCTTGCACAGACACAAATTGAGTCCGACAGGACTGATGTCTCCTGGACTTTGCTGTCATTTGAAATGCTGGCATGAGGATAGGAGCAGTGAAAGCAGGAGGAGCGGGGTGGGGAGGGGGGAGCTGATTCCTTTAGCACTTTTCCTAGGAACTTTTGAGATTTTTAACATTTGATAGCTGTGAGCTGCTTGATAAGTTGTTTTTCAGAGGGGATTGATAACAGTAGCTGACTTGGAACAGCTGGCTAGCTTCCGGATGCAGGAAGAAGTTTTTTTTTTTTTTTTTTGAGACGGAGTTTCACTCTTGTTACCCAGGCTAGAGTGCAATGGCGCGACCTCGGCTCACCGCAACCTCCGCCTCCTGGGTTCAGGCAATTCTCCTGCCTCAACCTCCTCAGTAGCTGGGATTACAGGCACGCGCCACCATGCCCAGCTAATGTTTTTGTATTTTTAGTAGAGACGGGGTTTCACCATGTTGACCAGGATGGTCTCGATCTCTTGACCTCGTGATCCACCCGCCTCGGCCTCCCAAAGTGCTGGGGTTACAGGCTTGAGCCACCGCGCCCGGCCAGGAAGAAGTTTTTCGATGTACAACTTGCTTCTTCATGTCACCCACTGTTTAAAAAAAAAGGCTATCTAATAGAATGCTAATTAGAGTGATTCCTCTCCTTCTTTTTAGTTTTATGTTTCCCACATTTAAACTGCTCACGAATAGTAATAAAAAATTATATCTTAAAAAAAATTTTTGTTCCCATGCTTTTCAGTTCCAGGAAAGACGTGCTGTGGTACCTGCATTACAGGTCTTTTTAAAGCACAAGTTATTTTAGTGGATTAGGTTATTTCTGGATATCTCTAGTATTTCCTGTCAAAAATTTTGTATATGTTTCAAATATTCCAGTATAAGAAAAGGTATGCAGTTTGAATTTGCAAACGGATACTGATAGTCATTCTCACATTTTTTCTGCAGAGATGGAGGATGCAATAGGATGTGATCTACTCTCCGTTTTTAAATTTTTCATTAAAAGTGTACTCTGTATTAGAGGCTGTGCTAGATTTATTGAAGGTTCTATTGGTACAATTATTTAACATGTGAATAATCATACTTCAAATGATTGCTTAGAGCCGGTCAGTCATTGTCTCCCTTCTTTTTAATTTCCCCCAGGACCGCCATTACCCATAAGTCTTGTATACTTCTCACCTGGAATTCTTGCTACAGCCTAATACCATTCTCTAAGTCATCCCTAATCCAGTTGTCAGCTAATCTTTTCAAAGCCTCGTTCCATGTTACTCCTCTGCTCTAAAGCATTAAATAGCTCTTTTTCTAATTTGCTGAATAAAGACCATTTGACTTAGATCACCACCCAAAGCTCTCCTCGACCTATTTTTTGTTGTTGTTTGTTTTTGAGTCTTGCTCTGTTGCCCAGGCTGGAGTGCAGTGGTGCAGTCTCAGCTCACTGCAACCTCCACCTCCCAGGTTCAAGTGATTCTCCTCCCTCAGCCTCCTGAGTAGCTGGGATTACAGGCAGGTGCCACCACGCCTGGCTAATTTTTGAATTTTTTGTGGAGAAGGGGTTTCACCATGTTGGTCAGGCTGGTCTCAAACTCCTGACCTCATGATCTGCCCACTTTGGCCTCCCAAAGTGCCGGGATGACAAGCATGAGCCACTGTGTCTGGCCTATTATTATTATTTTTTAAATCTGAGCCTTATTTTTTTTTTCTGACAAAGTCTCACTTGTCAGCCAGGCTGGAGTGGCATGGCAGGACCTTGGCTCACTGAAACCTCTTTCTCCTGGGTTCCAGTGATTCTCCTGCCTCAGCCTCCCAAGTAGCTGGGATTGCAGGCATGTGCCACCATGCCTGGCTAATTCTTTTGTATTTTTAGTAGAGACTGATTTTCACCATGTTGGCCAGGCTGGTCTTGAACTACTGACCTCAAGTGATCTACCAGCCTTGGCTTCCCAAAGTGTTGGGAATACATACGTGAGCCACCGCACCCGACTCTGAACCATTTTCCTTTGTTTCATCCTCTGGGTTTCCTAATAGAAGATGGTTTCCTATGACTCCAACCAAAAGGTTCACAAAGTGTGGTCTCTGGACTGGCAGCATGGGCATCACCCAGGAACATGTAGAAATGCAAATTTATGCAGATTTGTGACTCAGGCTGTAATCCTAGCACTTTGGGAGGCTAAGAGTGGTGGCTTATCTCTGTAATCCTAGCAGTTTGGGAGGCTGAGGCAGACAGATCGCTTGAGGCCAGGAGTTCTAGACCAGCCTGGACAACATGGTGAAACCCTGTCTCTACTGAAAATACAAAAATTAGGTGGGTATGTTGGTAGGCGCCTGTAATCCCGGCTACCTGGGAGTCTGAGGCAGGAGAATCACTTGAACCCAGGAAGCAGAGTTTTCAGTGAACCACAGTTGTACCACTGCACTACAGCCTGGGTGACAGAGTAAGACTGTCTCAAAAAATAAAAAAAAAAAGCAAATTACTGAATTATTGGACCCCCACCACAGACCTACTGACCCACAAACACTGAGGGTAGTACCCACCTATCTGTTCTGAGAAGGTTTCCAGGTGGTCTGATGCATGCTGACCTTTGGGAGGCTCTGTTCCAACCAAAGCAGGAAACTCCCCTTTTCCAAAGTTCCTTTCCCACTGTCCTGCCTTTGCATAGAATTCCTGGAGTGCTTTTCTGTCATCTTATTAAAATCCTGCTTAAACTTCAAGGCGAAATTTGAGACTATTTCCATGATGTCATTATTGAGTGAATCTTTTATAGCATAATCTGGTTTTTCTCCTGGCACACATCACTTATTAAATTGTACTAGTCATCTGGTATACCTACTTTATTTTCCCTACTAATCTGGAAACAAAAATAATAGAACCTGACTCATCTTTGTACCTCAAGACACCTTGTGCTGTCACTCTTGATGGCTTGCACACAGTAGGTGCTCCAAAAATAGTTTGTGGCTTCAGAGAAGATTGAGAAAATTAAACCCTTGCCCAGGGGGCATATAAAAATTCTGTTAAATCAAAGAGGCTCATGCTAACTCTTGTTTTGACACTGAAGTCAAACTAGATTTGAATGTTGATGTGTCTTCAGGGATGAAGCCAAATATACTAGTGTAAAAAATTCTCACCTGTGCTGTTTAGCTGGAGAAGTTGAATTACCCCTGTCAGTTTTACCTGATGCCAAGAAAGCAGCTTCCATTATTGTGTCAGTAATAGACTTTTATCTTGCATGGAGGAACTTCTCTTAAATCTTTCTCATAGCACTGGCGTGCTGCTTTCCGCTGATGTAGTCACGTAATGTTTCATAAGGAGTGACAGTTCCTTTTCAGGTGCTTTGCCCAAAAGGTAGCATAAGCATAGAATGAAATTCAAGGTGGTTGGCTTTAGGACAGCCTAAAATTGGAAATGCGAGAGCTCCCACGTAACACAAACCCAGATATTCTGATTCCTACATTTTACAAACCAAGTTATTTCCTTCCTAATACAAAGCATGACAGTTCCAATTGATTGTGTATTTGAAGTGGGTTGTGTCTGTTATGGTGATGGTGATGGAACCAGGGGGAAAGAGTAAGAAATGTAAGGATCTTTGTATTTACTTCCTTTTCTTTTCTCTCCCTCCCCGCTTTCAGGCTCTGAAAGTGTTCCAGCTGAAATTTCAGATCGGCCAGACTTGCTGCGGCTCCGGAGGCAGTGATTCCAAGCTGCTCGCGCACGCTGCTGCCAAGCTGCAGGATGGTGCACGTAGCCAGGCTGCTGCTGCTGCTCCTCACTTTCTTCCTCCGCGCGGATGCTGAGAGTAAGCCATTCTCCCCTTCTCTAGGGGGCTGTGACCATAATGAGTGGTTTTGTTTGCAGTTGGCACCAAGCTCAGGGCCTCTGAATACATTTCCTTTGGAAGTAAATCCTGAGACACTGTGGGATGCTCCTTGGCTACCAGCCAGCCTTTGAAAGAGATTATTGACGAGACTTCCTCACCATTTCCTCTCCCTTTAATGCCCCTTTTCTTGTGCGTCTAACTGCTCCTCCTGTTTATTTTTTATTTTTTATACCTTTTATCAGCCTGGTAGCAAAGATATTATGAGACCGTTGATGGAACTCAAACTGAGGTTAACCAGTTGGTGGTGCCAATAAGTAAACATTGTTCAGACCCACTCGAAATTTCTTCAGTTTTGTGGATCGTTCCATGTTTAGAAAAATGCACAATGTCACATTGAGCCTAATTAAACTTCCAAGCCCCTTGTAGCTGTCATAGCAGCTGTTCTAATGTACTGTTTCCGACAGCTGTCGTCAAGTACAGTATTCAAACAAATCAAGCAGAACTGACAACTTTGTGGCTGGATGAAGGGTCTGGGAAGTGTGAGGAGAATTCTGTGGAATAGAGACACCAAACTTTGGATTACTGGACTCCATTTATGAAACTGCTATTGTAGTCAATTAGCTTGACAGTTAATGAGAAGATCACATCTCCTTCCTAATTAGGAAATCATTAGGTCTACCTTGTTTACATGTGTTTGTTTTCCCATCTGTCCCGTGGCTTTTTGAAAGAGAGAATACTAGAGAACGGCATGTCCTGGGCTTGTACTCCGTGACATGTGTGGTTCCTTGGTAGTGGTTTAGTTCTTACATGAGTTAGCCATTCTCTTTGGGAATCCCCTGGTATGAGTGAAATGTGTAATATCTGCAGTCATTAAGGTTTCTCTCCACTGACTATTTCAGTGAGATTCACTTTGATTCATGTTAAGGATGTTTCCAAGACAAGGATCCTGTGTCATCTTGGCCCCTTCCTATTAATTGCATTTTGACAAGAATTCCCTTAGGAGCCGCCAATTGCTTCATTGAAATAGGAGCTCTATTTTCTGAAGAGACATTTTGAGAAGTGAAAGGAATAACATTAATAATAAGATACATATGTAACATGCATGTTTCAAGCATAACATTCCCTGATTCATAATGTATACAGTTTCCTAATTAGCACTTGGGAGTGTCAATTTAAGGTGAAGCCAAGGAATTTCTAGTCTAATGCCAGCAAATAATTAACTGGGAAAAGACCCAAATATAAGATGTTCTTGTTATTTTAAAGCCATTTATGTCAAAACTTATTTTAAAAGTAAAATTTAAATTTAGTTTATTAAAGAGAAATTGAGCCTATGGTTTTATTATTTTTGTTTGGCTAGAGTGCAAAAGTAAGTTGTTTCACCATTGTTAATTTTTGGCAAAAGCCGATTTAGACCCTGGGAGCCCACTTTAATGTCAGATCACAGCTAGAGGTTTTTAAAAGTTACTAGATAGAATTATTGTATATCCATGAAGTTACTTTTCCGAATAAGAACAAATATTCTTCTACTGAGCAGTGATGCCTGTGCTTAATCCTCTGGTGAAAAGTGGAAGACAGAAGTGAAGAGTTTAGAAAGGAATCCTTTTTTGTTTGAAAAAAACAATCTTTTCCGCAGATAACCGTCATCTTAGTGGCTTTCTCCTCTCTCTTCCTCTCTTTCTTCTTCATCACACTTCTTATGCTGTGTAGTCTTACAAAAGAAATTGCAAAGGCCCTTGTTAGCAATTTTTAGTTAAATTAAGATATTTATCATGCTACGTATTTTGTGATATCAGCTTTCAATCTCAAGATGTCCCTTGAAAAAGAATCTACTCCCTCTCACCCTTCCCATTACAGCTAAAAAGAGGAAACAGCCTTCAACTTTGCCAAATCAATTTTGATTAGCTTTGTCCTTGTCTAATCAGCCTCCATGTAGAATATTTTCCTTTTCACAGATTCATTTGGCACTCTTGAACAGCATGTGTATTCTGAAAGTTATTTCGGAAAGAGGAAAATTTAACCACATCTTTTAAGGTACATTTTAAAAGAAGAGGGACCATCCATTTGCAGTCTACCAGAGGATACTTGTGGTTTATGAAAGTACACGGTAGAGTTGGAGATAAAATTTTAGTCACTAAAAATGTTTAAAAACAACTGGCAGAATAGGTTTCAGATTGTAACCCATCAAATTCTGTCATTACCTTTTCTTCAAACACTGAAATAAAAAATGCAGTTATAAGTAGCACTGAAGAAAAGTTTGATGTCTTCACTATCATATAAAGATATTATTTTTCAGGCTTTTATTGCCTGAGTCATGCTGGTTTGTTTCCGTGTGCCTTTGTTAGCACATCCAGCTTTCCTTATTTTCCCTTGTACTAACTGTGTTTTGTATTTATCCAAAGGATCAAGAGTTATTAATAGTAGCTTGACAGAGCCTTAGAACTCTGAAATAATTTTTTCAAATGTTTGCCCTCCTTTGAAAAAGAAGTCTATATGGTGGGAATGGAAAGAAGCCACTTAGTTTGCCACGTTAATTTAATGTGTTCAACTCACTCTCTTTTGAAATGATTAACTCCAAAAAGCCTGGGAGTCAGGGTTATAATCTGCTGTGTGCAATGTCATAGCAAAGTACTGGGTGTGATGTTGCATTAAGTAGGAGTGCTCTTATGAGCCTTGGTTCAAACCTAGGTTGGAAAATTGTGATAATATCCCTCAGCAGAAAATTATAGTCTTTGCCATTGCCAGTTTAATATGCCCTGCACATCCACTATTATTTTAAAAAGCTAGACGCGTGTTTGTATCTGATTTCTGCTCATTCCTGTGTCTTGAATGCCCCAGATGATTTTGCGTGTTGTTTCTGGAATGCATGTATGGACAGTAGAGCTTTGATCTCAGGGAGAGGCATACGCAACGTCTGTTCAGGCAGCATGAGTAGCTCTTCAGGGCTGACCAGCCAGCTTTCTGGTTTAGGTAGTGCTCCGAGAACAATTCAGCTGTAACATGCGTGCAAATTCAAGATTCATATAGATTATAGTAATGTATCCTCAGGTGAATGTTTTTCTTCTTGATGAGTTTTCACAATAGCTTCTGTTAGTTGTATTTCATACATAAATTACGTTTACTATTTACCAGTCTTTAACAAACAACCAGGCCAGGCGCAGTGGCTCACGCCTGTAATCCCAGCACTTTGGGGGGCCGAGGCAGGTGGATCACCTGAGGTCGAGAGTTCGAGACCAGCTTGACTGACATGGTGAAACCCTGTCTCTACTAAAAATACCAAGTTAGCCAGGCATGGTGGTCCATGCGTGTATTCCCAGCTACTTACTTAGGAGGCTGAGACAGGAGAATCACTTGAACCCAGGAGGTGGAGGTTACAGTGAGCCGAGATCGTGCCATTGCACTCCAGCCTGGACAACAAGAGTGAAACTTCGTCTCAAAAAAACTAACTAAATACGTAAGAAAAACTAAATGCAGACCAAAAACCCGCTGTTAGCATCTTCTTTGTCAGACCAGTTTCACTCTAACAAAACCTCTTATAGCAGATGGTTACATTCTGGAGCCGAGTTGTGGTCATGATAGTTGGACCTGAGTGTCTCTCTGATCTCAGGAATAGGACTTTTTCAAAATTGTAGAAACACGCTCTTGATAATTTCATTCCTCAGATGGTTTAATTCATCTGTTTACTTGTTGCTTTTTGTCATTTTTCCACTTCAGATTGTGAATACTTCCTCATTCTCCTTTCTCATTGTTAAAGAGCCTTGCTGCAGTCACTGTATACTCACAATCTTTCTGTCCTTTATGGAAGCAGTAAGTTCTTCCTCGGCTCCCTTTGGTATGATATCACAGTAGCCCATGGAATTTCTTTATTTCTTTGACATTAGAGCATAGACGGACATCTGTGTTGTAAGATAACTGTTTGTTACCTTGAGTATTTCCTGCTGGGCAGCATGGAGGAACGGTGGAGAATGTGAGCTCTGAAGCCACAGTCTGGGTTTGAACTCTGCCTGTCATTTGGTAAATCATGCTCTTAGCCTCAGTTTCCTCTGTTTTTGTCATTTTAATCAGTCATGCTCTTTGCTTCAGTTTTCCTATTTTTAAAATGTGGACGACAATGATGGTCCCTGATATCATACTCCTGGGTTTTGTGAGGATTTACTGAATTGAAATAAAACTTGTAGATTAGCAAATAAAACAAGGTAGGTGTTTCATGAATGTCAGCTCTTACTATATCTTTATTCAACAAGATTTAGCAAACATTTTTGTTGAACACGTGTGAGGTACTGTGCTAATATTTTTTTGTTAATTTGACCTACAGATTATCAAAATTTGGATGGTGGTTAAGCCAGGTTTTCTTGTAGGAAGTTAAAGTCTCCAGCTTGCTTCTCCGTCAAGTCCTGTATGTAGTTCTTATAAACTCCTGCTTCCGGGCATTAAACTGAAGATCAGGAGGGGAAATATAAAGCATATCTGTTTTACTCAAATGGTTAAAAAAAAACTTCTTAGAATTACACATTTAAAAGTGATTTGGCTTGGGTAGAATGGATAGTAGAAGGTGTTTCCTCTCTCTTTACTATTGCCTCTTACGTACATTTTATTGAGCAGCTCACGGGAAGGAACTGTGGAAATTTACTGTTGGTAAACAGTCATACATTGCCTCTTCAGAAACTGGAGGTGGGGGTGAGCTTGGTGAGAAAGAGAGTGAGTGGCCATTGATATGGCCAGGAAGTATATTGTAGAAAAAAAAATTATTATTGTTTTGGTTTTTTTAAGACAGAATCTTATTCTGTTGCGCAGGCTGGAGTGCAGTGGTGTGATCTCAGCTCACTGCAACCTCCGCCTCCCAGATTCCAGAGATCCTTTTGCCTCAGTGTTCCGAGTAGCTGAGATTACAGGTGCCTATCATCAAACCCGATTAATTTTTGTGTTTTTAGTAAAGACAGGGTTTTAACATGTTGGCCAGGCTGGTCTCGAACTCTTGACCT